AATGAAAACATGAGGATCCAAAATCTATGGGATGCAGCAAAAGCAATTCTAAGAGGGAAGATTATAGCTATACAAGCCTACCTCAAGATACAAGAAAAATCTCAAATAAACAATCTAACCTTACAGCGATAGGAACTAGAGAAAGAAGGAAAAAACCCGCAAAGTTAGCAGAAGGAAAGAAATCATTAAGATCAGAGCAGAAATAAATGAAATAGAAACAATAAAACAATAGCAAAGATCAATAAAATTAAAGCTGGTTCTTTGAGGAGATAAACAAAATTGATAAACCATTAGCCAGACTCATCGAGAAAAAGATGGAAAGGACTCAAATCAAAAAAATTAGAAATGAAAAAGGAGAAGTTACAACAGACACCGCAGAAATACAAAGCATCCTAAAAGACTACTGCAAGCAACTCTATGCCAATAAAATGGACAACCTGGAAGAAACGGACAAATTCTTAGAAAGGTATAACCTACCAAGACTGAACCAGGAAGAAATAGAAAATATGAACAAAACAATCACAAGTAAGTGAAATTGAAACGGTGATTAAAAATCTTCCAACAAACAGAAGTCCAGGACCAGATGGCTTCACAGGGGAATTCATTCAAACATTTAGAGAAGAGCTAACACCCATCCTTCTCAAACTCTTTCAAAAAATTGCAGAGGAAGGAACACTCCCACACGCATTCTATGAGGCCACCATCACCCTGATACCAAAACCAGACAAAGATCCTACAAAAAAAGAAAATTACAGAGCAGTGTCATTGATGAATATAGATGCAAAAATCCTCAACAAAATACTAGCAAACAGAATCCAACAACACATTAAAAGGATCATACACCATGATCAAGTGGGATTTATCCCAGTGATGCAAGGATTCTTCAATATATGCAAATCAATCAATGTGATACACCATATTAACAAATTGAAGAATAAACACCATATGCTCATCTCAATAGATGCAGAAAACCTTTTGACAAAATTCAACACCCATTTATGATAAAAACTCTCCAGAAAGTGGGCATAGAGTGAACCTACCTCAACGTAATAAAGGCCATATGCAACACACCCACAGCAAACATCATTCTCAATGGTGAAAAACTGAAAGCATTTCCTCTAAGATCAGGAACAAGACAAGGTACCCACTCTCACCACTGTCATTCAACACAGTTTTGGAAGTGCTAGCCACGGCAATCAGAGAAGAAAAAGAAATGAGAGGAATACAAATGGGAAAAGAATAAGTAAAGCTATCACTGTTTGCAGATGACATGATACTATACATAGAGAATCCTAAAGATGCTACCAGAAAACTACTAGAGCTAATCAATGAATTTGGTAAAGTTGCAGGATACAAAATTAATGCACAGAAATCTCTGGCATTCCTATACACTAATGATGAGAAATCTGAAAGTGAAATTAAGAAAACACTCCTATTTATCATTGCAACAAAAAGAATAAAACACCTAGGAATAAACCTACCTAAGGAGACAAAAGACCTGTATGCAGAAAATTATAAGACATTGATGAAAGAAATTAAAGATGATATGAACAGATGGATATATATACCATGTTGTTGGATTGGAAGAATCAACATTGTGAAAGTGACTATACTACCCAAAGCAATCTACAGATTCAATGCAATCCCTATCAAGCTACCACTGGCATTTTTCAGAGAACTAGAACAAAAAATTTCACAATTTGTATGGAAACACAAAAGACCCCGAATAGCCAAAGCAATCTTGAGAAAGAAAAACAGAGCTGGAGGAATCAGGCTCCCGGACTTCAGACTATACTACAAAGCTAAGTAATCAAGACACTTTGGTACTGGCACAGAAACAGAAATATAGATCAGTGGAACAGGATAGAAAGCCTAGAGGTAAACCCATGCACATATGGTCACCTTGTCTTTGATAAAGGAGGCAAGAATATACAATAGAGAAAAGAGAGCCTCTTCAATAAGTGGTTCTGGGAAAACTGGACAGCTACATGTAAAAGAATGAAATTAGAACACTCTCTAACACCATACACAAAAATAAACTCAAAGTGGATTAAAGACCTAAATGTAAGGCCAGACACTCTCAAACTCTTAGAGGAAAACATAGGCAGAACATTCTATGACATAAATCACAGCAAGATCCTTTGTGACCAAGCTCCTAGAGAAATGGAAATAAAAACAAAAATAAACAAATGGGACCTAATGAAACTTCAAAGCTTTTGCACAGCAAAGGAAACCATAAACAAGACGAAAAGACAACCCTTAGAATGGGAGAAAATATTTGCAAATGAAGCAACTGACAAAGGATTAATCTCAGAATTTACAAGCAGCTCATGCAGCTTAATATCAAAAAAACAAACAACCCAATCCAAAAATGGGCAGAAGACCTAAATAGATATTTCTCCAAAGAAGATATACAGATGGTCAACAAACACATGAAAGGGGGCTCGACATCAGAGAAATGCAAATTGAAACTACAATGTGATATCATCTCACACTGGTCAAAATGGCCATCATCAAAAAATCTAGAAACAATAAATGCTGGAGAGGGTGTGGAGAAAAGGGAACACTCTTGCACCTTTGGTGGGAATGTAAATTGATACAGCCACTATGGAGAACAGTATGGAGGTTCCTTAGAAGACTAAATATAGAACTACCATACAACCCAGGAATCCCACTACTGGGCATATACCCTGAGAAAACCATAATTCAAAAAGCGGCATGTACCACAATCTTCATTGCAGCTCTATTTACAAGAGCCAGGACATGGAAGCAACCTAAGTGTCCATCGACACATGAATGGATAAAGAAGATGTGGCACGTATATACAATGGAATATTACACAGCAATAAAAAGAAATGAAATTGAGTTATTTGTAGTGAGGTGGATGGATCTAGAGTCTGTCATACAGAGTGAAGTAAGTCAGAAAGAGAAAAACAACTACTGTATGCTAACACATATTTATGGAATCTAAAAAAAGAAAAAATGGTCATGAAGAACCTAGGAGCAAGACGGGAATAAAGACACAGAGCTACTAGAGAATGGAGTTGAGGACATGGTGAGGGGGAAGGGTAAGCTGGGACAAAGTGAGAGAGTGGTAGTGTATATATGGACATATATACACTACCAAATGTGAAATAGATAACTAGTGGGAAGCAGTCACATAGCACAGGGAGATCAGCTCTGTGCTTTGTGACCAGCTAGAAGGGTGGGATAGGGAGGGTGGGAGGGAGGGAGATGCAAGAGGGAAGAGATATTGGGATATATGTGTAAGTATAACTGATTCACTTTGTTATAAAGGAGAAACTAACACACCATTGTAAAGCAATTATACTCCAATAAAAGCGTTAAAAAAAAAAAAGAGAAAGTACATGTCCCTGATTACTAATGAAATTGAGCATCTTTTCATATGTTAAGGGCTTGTGTTTTCTTCTTTTGTGAAATTCCTGTTCATTTGTTTCCTGTTTTTCAGCTACCTGTCTTTTCCTTTTTTATTCATAGGAGTTCTCTATATGTTTTATTTTCTTAAAAATATTTTATTTATTTATTTATTTTGGCTGCGCTGGGTCTTAATTGCCTCATGCGGGATCTTTTAGTTGTGGCGTGTTGGATCTACTTCCCTGACCAGGGATTGAACCTGGGCCCCCTGCATTGGAAGCGTGGCATCTTAACCGCTGGACCACCGGGGAAGTCCCCTCTATATGTTTTAGATACTAATGATTTGCTAACTAAATGCATTGCAGATACCTTCTTGATGACAGGTTGGATATGGGAGGCAAGGGAGAAGGAGTGTAGAATTACTCCTAGAATTCTCGTTTGGAGAGAACTGAATGGATGATGGTGCTATTAAACTCGTATATAGAATAGAGCGGGAGAAATAGATCTGGGGGAGGGAGGAATTAATTTAAGACATTTTGGAGTTTGATGTTTTCATGGGATGTTGAGTTGCAAATGTCTCATAGAAAGTTGGCTCTAAGGATCTGAAGCTCAGGCCAAGCTCTGTTATGCCACATAAGTCCTGGAGGACTCCTGTATGATGGGCCTTCCAGGAGACTGTAGTTGGAAGGAATATGGTAATTCTAAAACTCATTTGTCCTCTACCCATCCTTACTTCTTCTCTAGGCTATGGACTCTCCAATCTAAGCTTTTTATGAAATAAATGTCCCAAATGACCCACCAGACACTTCATCTTAGTTATAATTACTTTATTATGTTTTGGTCTCTAAACAGGTAAATAATCTTTCTTAATATTTCTAGGAGAGAATGTTACTTTTATTTTTAAAAGCATTCAGCATATTTGTCTTACATAACATGCAGAACATGTATTTAAATTTTAAAATTTCTCCCATTGCAGTACTTAATTACACAAGTTATTCCATAAACACTGAAAACAATATAAGAAACATATACATCTAAGAATTCTACTTTGTGTAGTCTTTGACTAAATAATACTATTTTCACATACACTTCCAGATATTTCTAGCTGCTTCTGTGTATTTGGAATTATGTATATAACACCCGGAAGAATATGGCCCCCTTGGAGGGATGGCAGTAGAAGCCCATGGAGTCAAGATCTTTCTTTAAAAGGCAGATTGTATTATTGCTTTGAATACCTTTTAGTTATTTGAGATTCTAAGATCCCTGATAAGCCCAGAGGGGTAGACCCCCTCATAACCCCCTTTAGAAGATAGAAAAGGTGAGGAAGCTGTCAGTAGCAGGGTTAGGGCTTGGCACACTCATGAAGAATGTAGCACCTCAGCATAGCTTATAGTATAGTGCCAGGGCAGAGTTACTACCAAACAGCTCAGGATGATGAGCCATCTACTGCGCTGCAGGAGAAGTAGCAGCTAATTTGGTGACTGTGGTTGGTCACCTTTTACGAGAACTGCAATCCACTGACAATTAGGGCTTGACATATACTGTGTGTA